TATTATAAGTGTTTATATTTTAGACCTGTCAGGATGTGTCACTTGCCAGTGTCTCGTCATTTACGTAAATAGAGAAAAGTTTCTCCGGCTACTTTGAAGTGTGTATGGTCAAAGTCCCTTTAAGACAAGTCACTTCACTCGGTGGCCATCTTTGAAACGCCTCTCGGGCAAGCAAGTGCAGCACCTATCTTTTTGAAAAGGGAAACATCAAATTCTCTAAGACTGTTCGCCAAGCTTACGAGTAAATTTCATATTTGAAATAACCAATGAAATCGGACAACAACTATCTCTTAAAATTTGGTTTCTAACCGCTCAAATCATGACAAAAAACAAAATTTTTCAGGCTGGATCAAGCTAAAGCGCATGAGCAGTGGAAGCGTGCGTCTGACTGACTCCGGACGAGTCCGTAGCTTCTAACGGCAGCTGCGGTGACACGATGACTTTACCAATTGGTGATTGGCTCTTATTTAGAAGGCTGGACTTATTCCGCCATATTGAGTGTTGCACTTTTCGAGATGGGTCTGTCTGCGGACTGCAAGAGAGGGGCGTAACAGGAAGTGGGCGTAACTTGAAGTTATCCAAATCACACAGAACCACACGATATGTCAAACTCAAAACGAGATGTTGTCGGCAAGATGCCAGCTCGTATAGAGACAATGGTAAGAATATTTTTCCGAGATAACCGTGTAAATCGAAGTGTATAAGTCATATTGCCGCTTTTTACATTGCAGCAAGGGCAGAGCAAAGCGATTTGAACTTTGAGCGTGTCAATATGTCTCGCTGAGTGTCCCACAGATGCCAGCAGCACAACACAGTAGTAGATCGCCCTGGAGTGATCACTTGCCATTATTAAAATGTAAATGCATGGGTAAGATGGCACCTAATAGATGCATAGATGTCGCCTAATTTATTGTTTTGGACAGAGGGGAAAACTACAAGGATTGTCCTGTTTTTATGTGTCTGCATGGGGGCACTTTCTGAGATCTGATTTTCTATTGAACGTAATGCTGCAGCAGTAGCCCAGAACAGACAATATTAGTGCCAGAACATATTAGATTGGGTTTGCATAAACCCTCATTGTGTTTTTGATTTTGTTATGGGTGTGCTTGTTGTTCATTTGTCTCAAAAGTATCATAAGATTTGTTTGTCAGCGGTGCATTTAGCTGTTCATTTGTGCTGTTGATATCAGTCAAAATTTTTAATCATCAGCAAATCAGGCATACAATAAGACATCAAAAGATGTTTACAATTATTTACCAAAAAAAAAAAATTAATAAATAAAGCCCAATTCCAAAGGGATATAGTGCTTGCTCCACACTAGTTAAGGTGGGACGAATAATTGATAAACAATACATTGCAATATGGTTTCTTGCAATACATTATCAGTATTTTTACAAAAACTGCTTCTACAGGGCCACAATGTAAGATACAAGGTAATGGAGCCTTTTATACATTGTCGTGTTTCTTTAGAAATAAACAATGGACAAATGGAGTCTTTAAACGCCTCAGATGTAAAGTTATTCGCTGTCAAAGTGACACCAAAATGAATGGGAGTCAATGGAATGCCAACAGCAGGTGAAGGATTGCTAGCTAATGGCGGCCCCCAGCCAGACTTCAGTTTCCGGCTGGTGGATTACCCCCTCGGGCGTAACTTGAAGTCTTGCAGGCTTCAGACAGATTATATCGCACTTTTACCCATTTAAAACAATTCTATATTCTTTGGTATGGTTTGGGAGTGGCAGAGGTTAGTTGTCACAACGAGCGAGAAAAAAAAGTGAAAATGTGATTATAAAAATCTTTTCAATTATATCTTCTTCGCTTGATAAACCATTATTAATGTGCTGAGAAGACTTTAATCTCTTAAAGGATTTCATCTCCAAAAGAAAATTTTACAAATTTAAGGGCCAATTTGAAAAAATTCTGTCATAATTTACTCACTCTCATGTTGTTCCAAACCTGTATGAGTTTATGTCTCCTGGTTTAGATTATTTTGGTAACCAGACAGCTGACGGCACACACTGACTTTCATATTTTTTTTCCTATGGAAGTCAATGGCTACTGTCAACAGTTTGATTACCAACATTCTTCAAAATAGATATTTTTTGTGTTCAGCAGAAGGAAGAAACTCAGGTTTGGAACAACTTGAGGGTGAATAAAAGGTGACAAAATCTTTGGGTGAACTATCCCTTTAAGTACAATCTACAAGCTAGAGGCTACCATTGCTTAGAGTATTCGAAAGGCAATTACTTCCCTATGGGAAAAGCAACTTTACTGACAACAGAGCGCTGCATTCGAACAGCATGTTCTAACTACAACTAGGGCAACACGTCTGAAACAGGCCAAACTACACAAAGCATTCCTCAGAGATTTAGACTAACTGAAACAAACAGACTCTAACAAATATTGGGTTTCGGCATTTTTTTGTTTTTGTTTGATTAACTAAACCTGCTGTGATGCTGGTATCACAAGAAATCATGGAGAATAATCACAAACACTTACATTTGCGAGCTTACGTTACAGGACAAGGTCTTCTTCCACAACAACAAAATACAATTAATTTCCTTTAATTAAATAAAGAATGAAAAACAAAGTTGTTTCCTTCAATCAGAATTGTGCTGAATGTAAAATGCATTATACTTCATCATTGTATTGCACAAGAAGTTCACACAGCAAAAGCTGGGTCAAAAGCCATCTAGCCAACATCTTCTCTTTATACGTTTATTCTTATTCTTTAAGGAAAATAAAACAGTATGTTTTTGCTGAAAATAAGAAGTTATCAATCCCAACCATTCTATTCTAAAACACAAAGTTCAGGCAAAGAGTTAGTTCATTCAAATCTCACAAGTTCTGTTTTAGTTTGAATGAATATTTTGAGCTGGCATGATGATATAATCAGAACATAAATCTAAGCATGCACACACACACAATGTTTTCAGTCTGGCTTTCTGTGTGTTTTTTGGTGGCACAATGCTTAAAGCTCTGGTTTCTTTTGGAATCCTTTTTTGTGAACTAATTGAGCCTGACTCGTAAGTTACTCCATAACTGAACATAGTGGTGCTAGGTGTCTTGTATCAGTCACCGTTTATCTCTCTTTTCATATTTATGTAAGCAAATAGGTCTACAGTCTTCTCAAAACTGTTTCCTACAGTATGGCCTTGGAAGACTTTAGCATTCATTTATTTATGATCAACATACAATTATTTTATAAGCTTCTAGCTCAGAGTTTCCAGTTAAAGCAAGAACACAAACACATTCACTGAAAAAAAGTGTGCTGGATTTAGGTTACATGATTTGATCATGTACATCGGTTCCACATGAATCAATTAAGTTAAACAAACATATTTGTTCACATAATTTCAACATCATGTAGTTTTTAAGTAACCCAATTAAGTAGCCTCAAAATTATTTTAATATGGTTCCCTAACAGGATTTATATTTTTGTGGCACATGACTGAATTATAAGAACGTACTAACTAGCTTCCAAACTCATAGCTATAGCAAAAGCAATTAACATTCTAAATGCTAAGCATGAAGTTATGCTCTTTGAGCTAAGCAGTAATAACATGTGCTGTATCAGCCCACAGCCTAATAATTCCAACATAACATCTCCCCCTTTTCTCATCTTACTTAAAATAACACTTTCAATATTTTTTTGGACTGAGCTATAAAGCATGTTGGGAACTACAATTTCAACACAAATCATTTTTGAGTATTGATTGGTTCATATTAACCCTAAATAACACAATTTATTTTTCGTGTAGATCGCAAATAACATGATTGAGTAAATTGGACAATGTGTGTTTTCCTGTTTTTCCAGTGTAGCTATGTAAGATTAAGGAACCAGAAGAGACACAAAGAGCTGAATGAGAACTTAATTGGATAGATCACGCCAAAATGAAAATTCTGTCATCCTTTACTCACCCACGTTGTTCCAAACCTGTATGGCCACAGTGGAAAACAAAGTAAGATATTTTGAAGAAGGTTGAGAACAACAACTAACATAGAGCATAGTACTAACTTTCTTTGTTTGGACAAAAAAAAAAAAAAAGCTCTTATCCACAGAAGATACTCAAAGTTTTGGAATGACATGAGGGTGAGTAAATTGTGAGTAAATGGGTGAACTATCCCTTTCAAATAGAAGAACAGGGTTACAGATTAATAATAATAATAATAACACTTTCATCACAGCTTTATATTGTTGCTAGGCTGATTGCTATAATGTAATGGGCTTTTTTTTTCTTAGCAGAAGCTGTAAAATAATATATAGTTATGGAAGTAGGCTATTTAACTTCAAATTTTTCATAGGTCGGTAATATCCAATAAGCAGGATAATGTAGTCAGCCTCACTACCGCAAAATAAACCCTTTCCGGCTACAGGAGTTGAATTTAATGTAGCCCTATTAGTATGTTATTTCTAATAACTTATTTAAGTGATGTATGCAATATTACACAATATGACACACAATCAACACAGCTGTTATGAAGAGCTTCTGCCTACGTGACTGTGATAGCATTTTATACCACACATTATAATCCACACATTAAGCACTGAACAACTTCTGTGTGACTATGAATAACTGCGACTAAATGAGCTGGAGAAATTATTGTGATAATAGAGTAGCCTACATTAATACCGACTCAAATAAGATAAACCAGTGAAGGGGCACTGGGTTGAAGTTAATCAACCTCAGACGACTGGACTGACTGATCTGCATAGATTTCACAACCTCTGGAATGTAAATCGCGTTGATTATAGCCTATTCAGCTGCCATAATGACAGCAGAAGTTTGTAAAGCGCTTGAGTTGTATTATATAACCTTCAGACGACGCCTCAACAGTACATTAAAATCCCCTCAAAGACACACCGAGCTGAAATGATTCCCCATAACGGTAGTTTACAAGCGGCACCATTTATTTGTAGCTACTGCAGGTTCAACAGACAGTTGTTGTCACGTCTCGCGATCCACTTTACTTTTGTAAATAAAAACAAAGGCACTTACCATGTCATATCAGCAGGACATTCACGTAATAACTCAACATGACCATGCAGACCGAGCTCTGACATGAATCAAGTCACGGTAGGTTTCACATTTACTGAGTTGTAGTCCTGATTTTAAAGCACGTAACGTAACGCACACAACTGATCGAGGACTATCAGAGACTTTTACTTCCTGATTACAGATGTCCTGAGAAGGACACGCTGACGGGAAAACAAGAAAACATGTCATACGTTCTCTCTATAGAGACGAATGCCGTTGCTTATTTTCCTAATTTCCTGATCAGTCAAAAGACCGGACCGTCTGACTCGAGACTAAGGGAAGGGAAATAAAAAAAGAAAACAACCAATCACAGGCGGGGCAAACGCATTTTTTATGCTACTTTAGAAAATTATCCTACTTCTACTAGATGTTTGTAAGGCAGCGCTGTATTTTCCTCAATCATTCACATTTACCGTACTTTATTTGTTTACCTGATATGGACAATACACATTGATGATCATTAGTAGCCTATAAAAGATACAAAATATAAACAAGCTGGATTATAGCAACATTATTTACACCTCTCAGTATTAAACCCAATATTAAACTGTAACCAATTAAAATATATTATTTTAATTTTAGTTCTACAAGCAACATAAATAAACGGAACAATTGCAATAGGGTAATCGCATCACCCTAACCCTTAACTATAGGCTAACCCAAATGACACGGTCATCCCAGCTAAAAGGGAACGTTCTCAGAACTTTGGCTATCATTCAGGCAAGGTTCTCAAAGTTATGAACAAACATTAGGCCTATTCCATTAACGGTAGGCATAATAGAATGTTTGTTCAAAAGTTCTCTTTCATAGCTTTCTCAACATTAGCTCAACAACATTAATTATACATTGTGCATATATAGCCTAACATTTCTCTGAAACATTTTAGTTGGACTTTCATCTATTTAAAAAAAAAATTGTTTGTTTCCGATAGTTTAGAGAACAAGCTCAACCGAACCTGCTTGATGCGTGAGAACAAACCTGTAAGGCCCGGGTGAATCGGCCCAATGGAGGCATCCGATCAGCGGGGAAGGTCTCTGCGTGTTACTGTCTTTCCGCGTGGCAAAGTAATTTGATTAAATGCAATACATTTTCTCATATGTATTCTCTCGTTATTTCATCTGACTCCATAAATGAAAAGGTTTTAATGATATCTGTGCATCATTAAATGTGAGCGAATGTTTGGCTATTCTTTTTAACTCTTTACTGAAGATAATGTCAAAGCCAGTTAGAATAAAATCAAATGTTTACAATTTATTATGTCAGGTAAAAGTATCATGTCGATTTCATAATCAATTCAAAGATAATCAATACAATTACATCAAATGAGTAAAAGATGTAAGTTAAACCCGACATTTAGAAAATACATGATGCTGTAATTTTGAGTTACAAAACGCCCCCGATTCTCTTGTTGCATTTCTTTATATTATAGACAGAAACTTCTTTCACATGGAAACGTTCTAACAATGGAAATTTGCATTCAGAGATTACACCTTTTGAGAGCAGAGGACCATTTGCCTGAAAGTCACACCCTTCTGTGTGCAAAATATTTCTAAACTCTTAAGAACTTTATTACCTTTTGGTTTACTTCTTTGGGAATGAGACATTTGTACCAGTCGCACTGAGACATTTTAAATGATACCAAACATGTATAAAACTTGATTATAATCATTCACATTAAACCATTTAGATTCTTTGGGTTTTTCGAGTCTTCTTGCTGAAGCTCAAACGTGCTGCGGAACACACGAGAATGAACCTCATTGGTTCTTGCTGAAGCTCAAACGTGCTGCGTAACACACAAGATTGAACCTCATTGGTTCTTGCTGAAGCTCAAACGTGCTGCGTAACACACGAGAATGAACCTCATTGGTTCTTGCTGAAGCTCAAACGTGCTGCGTAACACACAAGATTGAACCTCATTGGTTCTTGCTGAAGCTCAAACGTGCTGCGTAACACACAAGATTGAACCTCATTGGTTCTTGCTGAAGCTCAAACGTGCTGCGGAACACACAAGATTGAACCTCATTGGTTCTTGCAGAAGCTCAAACGTGCTGCGTAACACACAAGACAAGATTGAACCTCATTGGTTCTTGCAGAAGCTCAAACGTGCTGCGTAACACACAAGATTGAACCTCATTGGTTCTTGCTGAAGCTCAAACGTGCTGCGGAACATGAGAATTAACCTCATTGGTTCTTGCAGAAGCTCAAACGTGCTGCGTAACACACAAGATTGAACCTCATTGGTTCTTGCAGAAGCTCAAACATGCTGCGTAACACACAAGACAAGATTGAACCTCATTGGTTCTTGCAGAAGCTCAAACGTGCTGCGGAACATGAGAATTAACCTCATTGGTTCTTGCAGAAGCTCAAACGTGCTGCGTAACACACAAGATTGAACCTCATTGGTTCTTGCTGAAGCTCAAACGTGCTGCGTAACACACAAGACAAGATTGAACCTCATTGGTTCTTGCAGAAGCTCAAACGTGCTGCGTAACACACAAGATTGAACCTCATTGGTTCTTGCAGAAGCTCAAACGTGCTGCGTAACACACAAGACAAGATTGAACCTCATTGGTTCTTGCAGAAGCTCAAACGTGCTGCGTAACACACAAGATTGAACCTCATTGGTTCTTGCAGAAGCTCAAACGTGCTGCGTAACACACAAGACAAGATTGAACCTCATTGGTTCTTGCAGAAGCTCAAACGTGCTGCGTAACACACAAGATTGAACCTCATTGGTTCTTGCAGAAGCTCAAACGTGCTGCGTAACACACAAGATTGAACCTCATTGGTTCTTGTTGAAGCTCAAACGTGCTGCGGAACACACGAGAATGAACCTCATTGGTTCTTGCAGAAGCTCAAACGTGCTGCGTAACACACAAGACAAGATTGAACCTCATTGGTTCTTGTGGAAGCTCTAACATCCTGCGTAACACGAGAATGAACCTCATTGGTATATACAGCGATATACAGCATAATCAGAAGTTTGTACAGCTCAACAGAAGTCCCTTTCATATCAAATACCTTTCTGTTGGTCAGCCCGGCATGTCTAATCCTAAACAGCTTTGGGATTCTATGAAATCTATAACTAATATGCAGCCCTCAAGGAACTTTGTATCTACTCTTGATGACTTACAGAAAGTCATTGATTTAAACAATTTTTACTTAAGATTTGAGAAGAGCGAACATATTTTTGAGAATAGCATTAGTGTTATGGAGTCTTCTTCTGGTATTATCAAAGATAAGTTGTTGATTGATGCGAACCAGATCAACAATTTTAAACACATTTGTCTTAAGAAATGTGCAGGCCCTGCTGGAATTTCTGCCTATATTGTTAGTCCCCCTGGTGAAAATCCAGCTTTTAATGTTGTTTATATACACATGGTGTTTTTAATATGCTTTAAGACAAACGTGCAAATTCATAAGTCAACACCATTGCTGAGTATTTCCTCCTTAAAACTGCAGTGAACCAAAGATAGTTTCAAAAACGCGGTTTGAAATCGCTGGTGTTTCTGACTTCACAAACTACCTTGTAACCAATCAGGTCAACGTGTGATCATCAACAAGTGGATCTCTGAAGCTGGTGTGAGTGAGTGGAGACGGGGCTAATTTGCATATTCATAGAATCGTGTATACTAAATGAGGCAAGAGTGTAGAGTTACATTCAAGCCATTTTAAGGCATGAACATTTTTTTTTAAGGAATAAAACTTTTAAATATGTTGATGATCAATTTTGATGACCAAAGATTAGTTTTAAGGGATAAAATGATTGACTACAGGAGGAAACTGTGCAGATGAACTGACTCCAGCTTGGCTCCCTATATTGCAAAAATCTTTGGACATCATGTTATGTACAGTATATGTTAAAAGCAGATGTTGCTAACAATTTAGATCCTTTACAGTTTGCCTATAGACAAGGGAGGGGAACTGATGATGCTATTAACAGCATCATACACTTGATTCTGAAACATTTAGAAACACGCAAGTTTACTTTTTATTGATTTTAACTCTGCTTTTATCACTATTCATATAAAAAGATGGAGCAGTTGAGTGTAAACGCATCTATCATTAAGTGGTATTTTTCTTTCTTAACTATTATATGTCTATGCAGCAACATGTAGTCCACAACAAATTTCCCTTTCGAGGACAATAAAGTATACTATTACTTCTGATTTCAAGTGACCAACTTGAACCAATAACTCACGCGAAACTCCTAAACACACAGAAATAACTGGATTCTGTAGCTATGTTCTTTTAGTACATTGAAAATACTGATATTTCTTTTATGACAGGGGTGTCCAATCTTGCTCGAGGGTCACTGTCCTATAGAGTTTAGCTAGATTAGGTAGGTTATTTGGAATAGGGATAATATGAGGATGATCTAGAATTCAAACAGGAGTCAAGATTGTAGGAATATGAGCGTTTATCATGTAAACGCAAATGAGTTTGTATTTAGTAACTGGTAATTAAGCTGTTTATGACTTTTATAAGGAACATAAGATCTATGGATCCTCTGCTGGGCTATGCCAGAAACAGGGTATAATAGGTCTAATAAATCTCCCTAATCATTCTGTCTATCATTTTAAGAGACAGCCCATTTCTCAGACAGGATCTAATGGACATAATGGTCAGGAAAAAAGCCAACCAGTCTATCAGTGCGTAACACACAATCTGTAGGTCTATATCTACCTGAATCTTTTTTTTCCCATAAAGATGACAATGAATATATAAAAGACTATGCTGTACTACAGAGTACAGAGTAGTCTACAAATTGTGATGTGTTCCATTATTAATGTAAATTAGAGTCATTTACTGATAAATTAAATACTGGTTTTATTGTGTAACCCTTAACTTGTGCCTTTGGACTCAAGCTGCTCTATGCTCAAACTATGACAACTAATGCAAACATTTACATGTAGGACTATTTTAATGGTTTGTAGTGCTGCCCTTGGGCTTAGTCTGCATGTTTTCCATTCCCGTTGTGAGTGTCTGCTGTTGGATCACTGGTCAGATTGTTTTGTGCTGGTCCAGGGTCTCTAGGGCTCATGGTTCTGGGAACAGCCTCCTCTACTTGGC